TGGCAGGGTCACCAGCCAGAGACTTGGAAGCAAGGCGTGCTGTGCCCATAGGGAGGAACTTTCCGGAATGCAGGGAGAGAAAGACGGGGGAGGGGCTGAGACGGGCCAAGGTGTCCTGTCCCCGCAGCTGCCAGGAGGGGCCCACACTCCACACTCAGCGAAGGGAGAGGCCCCGAGGCAGGGCCCCCGGGGGAGGGCCTGGTGCCCTGAGCACAGTGCGTCTTGCCTGCTGGTCCCTCACGAGGTCCCGACAGAGAAAACGTGGAAGAGAAGACACACAGTTGCCCGGCCGCATGGCTCAGCGTGGACCTATGACCCAGGAGGTCAGGGCACAGGCCCAGGGTGTGGGCTCCATCCCAGTGCGGGACGTGCAGGAGGCGGCCGATCAGGGATGCTCTCTCATCACAGTGTCTCCCTCTCCCGTTCTCTCTGAAATCAATAAAAACTTATGTTTTAGCGTCGGCCTGCGGACTGAAAGGTCCCGGGTTTGATTCCGGTCGAGGGCATGTACCTGGGTTGCGGGCACATCCCCAGTGGGAGATGTGCAGGAGGCGGCTGATCGATGTCTCTCTCTCATCGATGTTTCTAACTCTCTATCCCTCTCCCTTCCTCTCTGTAAAAATCAATAAAAGATATTAAAAAAAAAAACTTATCTTTTAAAAGTGCTTCCCGAGCGCTGATCACATGTTCAGATGCGGAGGCGAAACAGCAGTAGCTCCGGGCGAATCGGAAACATATTTACTGTCTTACTCAGCGGAAGGCACTGCCCGAGGGCACTGGGCCTGGGGCTCCGTTCACCAGAACCTACGGCCCCTTTGTGCTGAGCGGCCGGGAGACGGGGTCCCTGTGCAGGGCCCGCTGTCCCCGTTCTGACACGCTGCTGACGGCACCCCCATCTCTCACCAGGGCGTCTGTGGACGGGGCCGCCCTCCCTGGGAGGGGCGTCTCCTGGCAAAGCTGAGGTGCTGGCGGTGCGGGGGGGTGGGGGTGGGGGATGCCAGGCCTTGGGGAGGGAGAGTGAGGTTCCTCTGAAACGTCAGGGGAAACAGTCACGTGACTGGGAACTTCTCTCCCCATGGATCCGTCTCCTGGAAGACACTGCTGACCAGCGGGCACAGCGAGTGCCAGACAGGGGGCATCACCCCAGGGGCTCGGCTCTCCCGTCCCAGGGCCTGCGGATGACCCGGGGGTCCTGGGGGCTGGGCTCTCTAAGCGTCTGGCTGGGGCTCCTGCTCGAACAGGCTGCCCAAGGCTGAGTGTGAGCGAAGGGAGGAGGCGGCCCAGGACAGCGGGGCCCCGTGGGGGAGCAGGTGGCCCAGGACAGGAGGTCACAGGTCGGGGACACAGTCTTCCCAGCTGGTGTGGAGTCCAGCACCCACAGGCCCGCTGCCCACGGTCCTTCCTCCAGGGGTGGCTGGGGGCGGGGGCG